CCCCTCGCCACCGCCCTGCCCTTGCCCGCCACGGTGCCTCCGCTGCCCGCTCTTTGCTCTGCCTGTGCGGGAGGTTGCGGGGAGCTGCGGGCAGCGCTGCCCGGGGCTTGGCTGCGCTGCGCTGGGGCGCGGGGAAGCTGCAGAGCAGATTTTCAGCAGCGCGGCTCTGCTGCGGTACTGCCTGCGGAGCAGACCCGTCGCAGCCGCACGCACTTCTTCCCACATAGAGGACCCATCTCCTGCTCTGCCTTCACTATCCCTTGCCTTTGGCTATGGGGAGCACCCCCTCTCCGGGACACCCGGGGCTCCGGGCGGCACTGCGCCTGCCCCTCGCCGGTGCGCGGAGAGGCTCCGGTTGCCTTCTCCGACTTGCTGCCAAAAATATCACTTTCTTTACTATATCATCTTTTTTTCCCCCCTCTTTTTTCCCCCTTTTCTTTCATTTAATTTTTATCTTATTTATTCCCCCGTAACTGTCTGTGGAAAGTGAAAAATAATTGGAGGTAAGTGATTTCTTGAGAGAACGGCCGTGTGCGCGCTCCCTCGCCCATATGGAGAAAATTATCCCCCAAGTTCAGACTTTCGTTGGATCGCAGCACCAAACAGCCCAAATGTGGCAGGAGTCGGGAGAGAGGGTCATTTTCGATTCCTGCCGCCTGCACGGCCAGAGAGAGGAGCGAGGGGCCTGCTGCCGGGGCCGCCGCAGCTCCCCAGGTGCCCTCCCCGCCGCGGGCAGCCCCGCACGGTGCCCGCGGGGCCCCGGCCCGGGCAGGCGCTGCCGCCGTCCCGCTCGCTGCTCGCACTCCTGTGCCTGGCACGGGCTATTCCAGCCCGGCCTGACACCGGCCCGCAGTGTGCGGGTGCCGCCGGAGGTGTCTGGCGGCTGCGCAGGGTTTCACCGAGCAGCACGGTCGGTGTCCGCCCGCGGAGCAGGGTTCGCGGAGGCGGGCGCCGAGCGGGGACTCCCCGCAGCAGCCTGACCTTTCCCGGTGTTCCTGCGGCGAAAAGAGCCGGACAAGCGATGAGCGATCCGCGTTCTCCCAGAGGAATGGCCAGCGAAGCGACGCGGGGAAAGGCAGCACCTCTGCCCAGGTATTCTCTCATCTGTGCGCTGCACTGAAGTGAAGTTTTCTAAAACTCCGAAACAAGCTTTTCCCTTTTTATTTTTTTTTTCGTTCCAGGAAAGAAAGAAAGACGAAAAATTAGTCTGTAAAAGCGCCAAGTTCCTTGGTTCGGAACTAATCTAGGGCAAAAATTGTTATATGGGAGCAACGTAACGGAGCGGCAGCCCGATGGAATCACACACCCAGTTTAAGCAAAAGCCCCCACGTGTATATTTGACATACATTATGCATATTAAAAAAGCAACACCGGGCTTCGGGGGCCTGAAACACCTACGGAAACCGCTGATTTTGCTTTAGGAGCCCTGTTTTATTACATTCGATATAACTTCCACAGCGCACACATATGAGCTTCAATATTTGGGAACACATCAGCAAGTAAAGGAATTCAGTGAGGTTATGCCTTTCAAACCTGGATACTTATATTCCTATTCCAAGATGGCACTGCAAGCAATTATTCACTTGAGGTCCTTGGAAAAAAGCGCATGTTTTAAAATGAAATACGTATTATTTAGTACTCTTAATGACACTTCAATGTGCTAAAATTTAGTCTCTAAATTTTAGAAACTCGGAGAATTATTTGGGAGTTATTCGGTGTCTCTCACTGCAAACTCCTTCAACCACATGAGAGTCACCAGGACATAGATATCTGGGGTGGATGGAGAGGCGGGGGGCGCGGGTGTCGTGCAGAGTGAATCACCCCAAAACCCCCTCTTCTCTTTTGCAAGCTCGAATTTCCCCAAACGATGGACGAGAGTGGACACATACACATATACACACACACGCACACAAAAAGGACCCGAACATGAAGGAGAGGGAGTTGACTCCCAGCAGAGCTAACTTCCTTCCAGGCTCTCTCCAAGCCAGGTGAAAGCAGCTGAAAATAGCGACGACTCGTTGCCCAGAAAAATCCTTCGTGAAATGCAAAGCAAAGTTAGGCGGGTCCGCGAGATCGAGCCCTCTAGGAGCAAGTTAAAGTTGAATATTTCGTAAAGCTGAATGTATGAACGAGAAACGAGAAGTATTCCAGTGGTACCAAAAAGTGCGGAACAGAAGTAGTGGTAAATAGTGGTGTGATTTTCTAGTTTCCCTTAGGAAAAAACGGGGCTGCTTTTCAAGACATGTTTTAGTTTGCTTCTTCCCTCTTCCCCATTCCCGTGCGGACAGCGGTGCGCTCAGTCCAGAGGAAAGTTTAGGGAAGTTTGTCACCACAGCCCCCTCCTCGGGCGGGCTCTCTCCCGCCGCTCCGGCCCTGGCCAGCGCTGGGGCTCCGGTGGGACCTGCCGGCACCCGGGCAGGGCGGCGTCCCCGCGCCTTCTTGCCGGCTACAGAAGGAAAGCAAGGCTCTGACGGGGAACACTAACTGGGGTCTGAGATGGGACGGGGAGCGAGAAGACCAGAGCCGGGGAGATAAATCAGCTTCGCGAAGGGCGGCGAACGCTGCGCGCTCCCGGGCAGCGAACGTCCCGACAGCCGTGGGCAGCGGGTTTCTGTTTTGGTGTGCATTGACTTCCACCGAGAAAAACAAGCACCCGGTGGAAGAGCATCTCCCGCACGCTCTTCCCACGCAACCTCCACGTCAGGGGAAGCTCGGGCACCTCTTCGCTCCCATACGGGACAACGAGCGTTTTCCCGTGGGATGTCTGGAGCGGGGACACCTGCAGCCCCTGCCTGGCCTGCAGCTCTGCCTCTGCTTAGTTAATTATTTTTTTTTTTTAAGTCTGACGAGTTTTCCTCCAGGGAGAGCCCTCGTGGCAGACGTGGGCCCTCAGAAACCCACAATTTCAGCGGTTCCCCAGGTAGCTGCTGCCGGGCAAAGCCGCTGTGTCTGCGAGTTCAGCATCCGACTGCTGGAAACCTGCAGTAACTCACCGGCGTGCGGCACCGCACCGCCGACACCCCCAGCATTTCCGAGGCCACGGGAGCCACCACGGGACCGTTCCTTCGGGATGGAGCAGGTCAACCCGCCGGGCGGGCGGGAAAGGCAGGCGCCTTTTCCAGCGCCTCTCGCCCGTATCGCACCACCCACGACTGCGAGAAGTTGCCGTACACGGCGTGTCGCAAGCCACGATTTCGAAGGTGTGAAAACAAGCGCAGGGGCTGGATCCAGAGTTTGGGCGCTGTTCCGGCGGCTGCCCCTGAGGGACAGATTTCAGGCGCTCAACTGGTCTGAACGGCGGGTAGTCCAAAAGCTGCGCTTAAACTAAGTGCTCTGCCAGCGGGTATCGCACTGGGGGGGGTTTAGAGCGCGTGTGCACGAACGCGTGTTCACAAACACACACGTGGGGAGGTTTCTCCGCGCCCCTCAAAAAAAACCCCCAAAAAACCCAACAAGCCCTTTAGGACTTTATTAATTTTATTAGGAGACATATTGAGCGGCCTTTAAGCTTTTTGAGGGGACCGGAGGGTCCCGGGGCCGGCGGGGCCGCGGGGCGGGGGGAGCGCTGCGGCGGCCGGCAGGGGGCGCTGCCGCCCCGCGGATGCGCTGCGGGATGGACCGGGATAGACCGGGATAGATCGGGATGGGACAGGGATGGACCGGGATAGACCGGGATGGGACAGGGATGGACCGGGATGGGACAGGGATGGGACAGGGATGGGACAGGGATGGGACCGGGATGGGACAGGGATGGACAGGGATGGACCGGGATGGGACAGGGATGGACAGGGATGGGACCGGGATGGGACAGGGATGGACAGGGATGGACCGGGATGGGACAGGGATGGACAGGGATGGGACCGGGATG